TTCATTTGGTTTGCTATAAATACCCAAGTCCTCAAGCATTGTAAATCATCCAAGGAAAAACAAAGCCTAGAGCTAAATAAGAAAAGCTTTGCTAACTAGTTTGTTTTGTGAGCTTTCTTTAAGAGTGTGTTCTATTTTCTTCTTCTTGGGATCATTAGAGTTATCTTGGATACTCTTCTTATTCAACACCATCCATGCCTATAAAAGGAGAAGGCATCCACACCATTTGTAACAACAAATCAACAAACTAACCAAGCAAGCTTGTAATCAAGCAAGCAAGCAATCAAGTGAGAGTGAGAAGCAAGAATAGTCTTGTGGTAGTGTGAGTGATCTAGAGTTTGTCTCTAGAAAGTGAGTGAGTGTCATTGTTCTTGAGAGTGTCCTTTGAGAGTGTTGTAATATTTGTTTGTGTAATACAAGTAATTTGTTTACTTGTATTGTCTCTCCAACACTTGTGTTAGAGTTGTGTACTCTGAGTTTTTTTTTCACCCCAACAGGTTTACCTACACCTTGGTAAGCCATCGTGACTTTCTGAACAAATGCTGTAATATTATGTGTTTTACTTTTCTCATAAGGTATTGTATTATTGGTTTGAGATGTCATGTTACCAAAGATGTAGAGAAGTCTCTTTCTAAAAGATTTTTGTTCAGTGGAAATGGCAGTTTGAAATAGGTGCTGGGTCAGATCAGAGGTAGGTGGAAGGGTTCTGTGACGTCAATGGAAGTCTCAGTTACCAAGCTAATCATGTTTGCATGATGAGTTCATTGATGGAAAAAGAAATTTTAAGAAAGGATTTGATAAGAAATGAAATACCTACTATTATGGATTTTGTATGAGCTTGCAAAGCAAGAAACTTGGCTTGACTTTGTTTTCTATGATTTTTGGAGCAATGCTTGAGCCACTTTTGCTGTTTTGTGAATGAAAAAAATTGGGTTGTTGAGGGGGCACTTCAAGATAAAAACTCATTTGGGTTGAAATGCTGATAGTATACTATGTCAATCATGCACTGCTTTTTAACTTTATTTTACTAATTTTTTCCATACAATACGCAATTGGGTCCAAACATTGTCATTGTAGCATTCCAGGTGCAGGTAAATTTCTCTTACACTTTAGGGTTATAAGAGCAGGAAATTTATGGAAATCAAACAAACTTTACATACAGGAGGTTGCATTGTTCTACTGCATAAAAGATATTACATACTGTTCTTCCTTGGGTTTTTTATTTTATTTTTTTACTTGCAGTTGTTCGGAAGAAGAATAGAAGGGCTTTCTAAGATGAGGTACTTGCATGCACTGCAACCAAAGAAGCATAAATGCCATCCTGGATATTGAGCAACGTTTCATGCTTTCCTTTCTCTGCAATCACTCCATTTTTCACCACAGCGATTAAATCTGCAGTCTTAATCGTGGATAACCGATGAGCAACCACCACTGTGGTTCGATCCTCCATGACTCGGTCCAACGCTTCTTGAACCACTCTTTCTGGTTCAGCGTCAAGCGCACTTGTGGCTTCATCTAGTAGTAAAATCTTTGGTGCCTTCATTATAGCTCTTGCAATTGCCACCCTTTGCTTCTGTCCGCCGGACAATTGAATACCCCGCTCTCCTACGATTGTGTTATAACCCTGCATTGTTTCCAAACTTAACATGCATTAATCTTCAACGTTCTCAATATTTTTGCAAGTTTTAATCAATTAATCCTCGTTTATGCAACACCAAAAAGCGAAATGTAAACAAATGGAGCGGTTATATGCTTTGGTCACCAATGCTGGTCACTACACAACGGTAGTTAAATATTGGACTTGATAGCGAACACAGTTAAACACAATCACCAGATTGGTAAAATTAAAACGTTGGTGCCGAATGTGTTATTAGGTCTAAAACAGTGACCAAAATTGTGTTTTACGCATATTCTCAATAAAAATTTGATAAAAGCCGTATGTAAAACAGTGACCAAAATTTTAATGTCTTTCCAGTTCTATTTTTTTATTATATGTTTGAACTGGTCGTATTTCTGCACAAATTGACAAAGTCATTTAGTGCCTACCTGTTGTAAACTACTAATGAACTTGTGAGCATTTGCCAATTCTGCTGCAGCTATAATTTCAGCTTCTGTTGCATCCCCTTCCTTTCCATATGCAATGTTGGCTCGGATAGTTTCATTAAACAACACAGGCTCCTGGCTCACCAGTCCCATTTGCTGTCTCAACCACTTGAGCTGTAGCTTTTGGATTTCGATTCCATCCAGTGTAATATGACCCGAATCAGGGTCATAAAATCTCTGCAACAATGAGACTACTGTCGATTTCCCACTTCCACTTTCTCCAACCAGAGCAACCGTCTGAATAATATAAAATCAAGTTGTAAGTTCCGGTAGCTTAAATCTGATTATGAGGTCCAAATCTTATTATTGAGTAAATGAACGATGCAAGATGGTAAGTTACCTTGCCATGATGGATGGTCAAGCAAAGGTCCTGGAAGATTGGTACATCAGGCCTAGTTGGATACTTGAAACTCACATGGCGTAACTCAATTTCTCCCTTCACATTCTCTATAGTTGTTCCGAAGTTGTCACTAGAATCTATTTTTGATTTCCGGTCAAGGATTGCAAATATGGACGCAAGAGAGCTCTTTCCTTTACTTAAATCGGGGGCAAGGGAACCCAATTGAGACACTCCAACAGTTGCCATAGTGAGAACAAAGAAAACCTACAAACCAGACGAGCAAATTTGAGTAATGTATTGAATGGGCTATGAAGATTTAAATCTTTGGTAACAACTACTAATCTAGCAGAGTTTGGATATAAGCCGAAGATTTCTGTACTATTTTCTTCTTAAAGACTTGTAGTGCAAGGCAGAAAACATACCCGTAAAACATCAGAGAATGTTGTCTTGCCTTCTGCAACAAGTTGCGATCCAGCATAAAAAATATAGGCAAAAAGGGAAAATTGCAAAAAGAATGATAGACCAAATCCGATCCCACTGATTAACCCTCGTCTTATCCCTGTCTTAATAGGGCCTTCACATTTTCTCTGGTATAATTGCATCACCTTGTCTTCAGCACAAAAGGAAGCAATTGTTCTAATACTCCCTACAGCATCATTCGCTACTTGACTTGCCTCCTCGTACATTTTCTGCAAACATTTAGAATTTTCATTGTTAATTAAAAATTAGTCTTATACATATTCCGCATGTGAGATTGGATCATGTTTTGAACTGCACAGGCTACAAAATTGTATGTTGTAGATTTTTCCAAATTTGGATTTCGGAAATATACCTTTGCATCGGCACTAAATCCTTTCACGAACTTCATTTGAAAATAATCATTTACTGCTAGAGGAGGCAACAGAACAAGGGTTCTAAGAACGAGTGGCCAATTTGCCACAAAAGCAATAACCAAGCCAGCAATTGCGGTTGATGAGTTCTGAACATGCAAACCAAAAGCACCATCAACCAACCCTCGGAGATAAGCGATATCTGTAGAAAGCCTTGCACCAATTGCACCACTTGAGTGCTCAGGATCGTCAAACCAACTTACTTCCATGTGAACCACCTTCTCAAAACACATTGATTGGACTCGTTTTATTAACCTACCACCCACCACAGCAAAAAGGTATTGTCTTGATGGAAGTGTTATGCAAGACCCCACTCCAAGAACAGTGGAAATTAATGCCCAAAACTTGGAATTTTTGAGGAGTTGATGCGGCGGCTCATAGAAGATCTTGACTACACTAGCAATCAATAGCCCAAAAAAAGGGAAGATTAACCCATTGGCTATTGCAGCTATAGTAGCAAAAATTAAAACTGGGATCTCTGGCTTGTACAGGTAAGCAAGGCGGCGAAGTGAGACTTCTGGAGGTACTATTGATGATTCTGAAGCAGGAATATCGGATTCTTTAGGTGCTACTTCAAGGACACCTAGTGCAGGGGCCACATCAAATGAGATTGAGGGGGAATGATGGCTGCTATTCTGGGAATCCAATTCCACACTACTACGCCTTTCGTGATCATTCACATCAGTCTGTTCTGAAGCACTGCTCATTTCTTGCAACCTTATAAGCTGGCTATATGCTCCTTCAGGGTCCTTAACTAGCTCAGAATGTGGACCTGCTCAGTTTAAAAAAAAGAAGGGTATGTGAGGTAATTAATGAATATGATAAGAGTAACAACTGTCACACCAATGAACAAATACGTTACCTTTTTCAACGATTGTCCCTCTTTGTATAACAGCAATGGTGTCAGCATTCCTTACTGTGCTCAAACGGTGGGCTACAATGACCGTAGTGCGGTTAATCATAATTCTGTCTAATGCCTCCTGCACAACCCTCTCAGATTCTGCATCAAGAGCGCTCGTGGCTTCATCTAAAAGTAGAATTCTTGGGTCTTTCAAGATTGCTCTAGCTATAGCTACTCTCTGCTTTTGGCCCCCGGATAGCTGAGTCCCATGCTCACCAACCATCGTGTCTAGTCCCTAAAAGTATGTTACAAAACCAATAGAGGAAAATAAAAATCTGTAAGATCACTGATGTCTCAACAAGCTTTCATCGTTTAGGAAAAATTCATTGAAAACTATCAAAGCAAAATAGAGAATTTGACCCGAGGCAATTTTTCTATGAAGTTAGCAGCATTGGCAAGCTCTGCAGCGGCCCTTATTTCTTCTGTAGTTGCTCCATCCTTCCCATAGGCAATGTTATCTTTTATGCTACAAGTAAACAAAATGGGTTCCCGGCTGACAAGACCTATTTTCTGTCGGATCCATTTGAGCTGGTAATCTTTGAGATTAATACCATCAATAACAACTTCCCCAGATTCGGGATCATAAAATCTCTCAATCAAACTGATTACAGTTGATTTGCCACTTCCGCTCTCTCCAACCAAAGCAGCAGTTGCACCTCTAGGTATTGAGAGGGAAAATCCACGGAATATTTTTTCCTCCGGTCTTGCAGGATAGCTAAAATAAACATCCCTCAGTTCTATGTCTCCATGGATGTCTTGGCACTGCTGTCCATTAGTGTCATAAGAATCTATCTCTGGCTTTCTGTTAATTGTCTCAAACATCTTATAAGCTGCAGCTTGTCCAGCAGCAAATGCACTCACGCATGGAGAAGCCTGCCCAAGAGACCTGGAAAAGTATCAAGGAGACATGTTCAGATCATGATATTCTGAAGCATCAAATATTAAATTTTGAAGTGAAGAGTGGGAGTAGTCAATAACTTTAAGATATCACAACTTGAAGTGTATGCAGAAGTGAAAACATGTTTACTAGTGCAATTACGCAACTTACATGGAGATGTGTGCCCAAGAGACCTGAAGATACATAGACATGTTCATATCTTGATACTCAAGCATCAAATATTTAATTTTGGGGTAGTAGTAAATAAAAGTTGCATTCTTGCAGTGCACGTAAAATTAAACACGGACATATTACCAATGATAGTCATCAAATTCTATTGAACTGCAACTTACATGGAGCCAGTCAATACAGCGAAAAGTACATATATTACTTCTCCTCCTGTATATCCTCTTTCAAGAACCATCTTTCCGCCAAACCATATAGCCAAAGCATAACTAGACATCATAATAAGCATAACCAAGCCAAATCCAAAACCCGACGCCAAACCTTCTTGCACAGAAGAATTGTAAGCTTCAGTTAAGGAGGAGTTGTAATTGTCTATAGCTTGTTTTTCTCCTGAAAATGATGCAACCTGCATTACGAATTCCCATCAGTTTTAGTTTTATCGAAGACAATTTTATTCATTTTAGGGACAAGTAGGCGTACAGTTCTAATTGAACTAATTGTCTGCTCCACCACAGTTGCTGCCATGGAATAAGCAGCTTGTCCACGGGTTACCAACTTCGATGTAAGGATGCTCACGACCGCACCAGCGAGAACAAGAAGGGGAATAGAAGATAGCATGACAAGGGCAAGAAGCCATCCCTTAATAAATGCTATAACAAAGCCTCCCATAAATGTTGCAATTAACTGAATAACAGTTCCTACCTGACAGAAGAAAAGGAAAAATAAAAATAAAAGTTAATAGGTTACAAGAGAAAATGGCAATAACTTGAGGGTTTTATGTGGCATGTAAATACCTTCTCGCCCATGGCGTCTTGAATGAGCACAGTATCACCCGACATCCTCCCAACAATTTCCCCAGTGTTCGTTTCTGTATCGAAGAAGCCGACATCTTGCCTCAATATCGTTTTCAAGTATAAACTTCTTATTCGTGCAGCTTGTCTTTCACCCGTAATCATCCAGCAAGATACCTCTGACACATAGAAAACACTGGTTATCTCCGATAAGCCAAGTTATTTGTTTAATACCAGCAAGGAGTTCAGTAAAACTTACGTAGAAAAGCAGCAACACCAGCACCTAGAGCCAAGTAAACATACTTTACAGCCACCTGAGGATCGAATTGGACAAATTATTTATGATTCAACGGCACAAATATGAGAGTTGCTTAATTCAGAACTAATTTGGAGGGAGATGATCCTTTTGAGCAACCAAACTACAGATAGTAGAGAATCGAAAAAGCAAGTTCAAAAAAGGAATTGGAGAGTTCAGTTGACACAATTCTAATGGAACCGGATCAAAGAATTTTTATCTTTAGTTTGCTGCTGTGCTATTGTCTAGTTAACTTAGTTTCTATGCATATGTTGACTTCAATTTCTAGTCACACAACAATTACCTTGGGGACTGCATCCCCCACTTCTTTGATATTCCCAGTTCCTCGAAAAGAATTAATCACCTCTCCCAAGATTATGGTCATTAGAGGTGTACAGAGCCCATTTCCAATGGCACTGATTGTACCAACAGACATTAAGATGTAATCCAAGGTATCTGCAAAGGAGAAAAGCTTGTGAAATGGTACTTTTTTGGTGCCATCCTCCTTGTTCTTGCTTGTATCTTTCTTCCTGTTTTGGGAATCCTCCACCGCTGAGTGGCCTTTGGATGTTGCCGTGACCTGCTTCTTGATTACATCTTCATCCTCCGCCATTTCTTACAGTTTACTTGCTATATTTGACAAGCAACACCAATTCCGAAGGTTCAGTTGATTTGTTTTACGCAACACAAACAACTTGGGCAACTTGTACAATAAGATCAAAGCTGCAAGAGAAACAATTTATGGGTTTGAATTAGCAACGTTTTTTTGGAAAAAAAACAGATATACAGTTCATGAGCACTAAATTGACTTACAGTCCAAGGAACAGATGCATATGAAAGAAACAAAGAGAATGCATGCAACGACCAAAACTTTACATCTCGGCAGGCGGGGAAAATATACCCTCTACAAACAGAACAGGAAAGTCTGGACGGACACTAACAACAATTCTTTTGTTAATATACGGCAGTCATGCAATGTTATTGAAGAAGTAAAAGGATGTTGGAGAACAACACTTCACAAACACAATTAAAAAGGTAATTAACATTAATATCAAATGAAAGGACAAAGAGAAAAAACCAAGTGGGCGGCTAAAGGAGAAAAATTTTGAGAGCTAAGAGACATAACCACCAACATCTTAGCTGCAACTTTCAAAGTGTTATTAAAAACACTGATATCTGAAAAATTTTAAAAATACAATTCGTGTTCCTCCACTTCTGTCCCTGATTGGTTTCTCCGAGTCTCCGACCTCTGACTGGTTGCGAGCTACAATTATATTACTTTTACCTTAAAATTTTGCCAAACGATTTTTCAATGTGTTCATACTCACAACACATTTAAAAGAACAATACACTCCATTGCTTTATTTTACAGTTGGTTATTCTTGAAATACAGTAGAAGTATTTTTTTTAAAGCACAACAATCCCAAATTGATCCTAAGTAGTACGGTCTAGTGATATCCATATTCACTTGTAAGTGAATGATATTAGGTCGGAATTTCAAAAATGACGAGTTTTGCAACCAATTTATTCTTCTACTCTCTTAGTGTAAACATATTTCTCTATTAAAAAAAAAGAAAAAAGAATATGTCTGAAACTGCTTTTGAGGACTAAGAACAACTTAAAAACACATTATAAACAAATTATGAAAATGGTCATAAATCACAGTATAAACAAATTATCAGTTAACTCATCAACTTAAGGCCATAACGGGAAGTTAGTTGAGTGAGAAATATGCCCAATGAGTTTGTATTCAAACATAAGGGTTTTTCTTAAAATTTGCTTGTGAATGGGGGTAAATATAAAAGAGTGCTATTAGATCCACCTCGTTACACTATTTTTCACCCACCATAGAAACTTAAAAAATTAAAATGTTATTTCCCACCCACTATTATTCCCAAAATAACCTTCTTCTTTTTTATATATTACCTATGGCACTGCCTGAGCTGATTTCATTCCTCGAATGTGCTATTTGGATACCTAACAAGAATTCTCAGACCTCACCATTGGATTCGTCCAAGCACTTCGGCTGTATCCAAATGACAATCTTCAGAGAAAACAGCATGCCATCTTACAAATTCTGGTCTAATTGGAAAGAAAGCATCCAACTCAACTGTTGAAGCTTTCTTCATATAAAAAAATAAAATCAACGCCATTCTCTCTCACAACTAAGCATCCAAGATAAAACCAATTCAATCGCCTTCGGTTTTTCTTCACTAACTACAACCGTAGAAATTCAAATTAGATTTTTTCATTCGTCTTCGATTTTTTGAATAGAAATATTATAATAAATTTATAAACAGGGTCTAAAAGTCTTTTTTCTAAAGTATAAAAATGCCATTATCATTTTTATTAAAATGGGATGGAAAAAATAAGACAATGAGGTGGGTTTAGTATCACTCATATAAAATTTTCTATTTTCAATTTTACTTTTAGCTTTTCAGTTTTAAGTTTCTAATATCGCATCTGGAAGCAGAGATGAAGAACAAGTAGAGCTGGCCCTGGCCAAATGCGGGCAGGGCGATCGTTCGACGCCTCAAAAAATCAGTGCACCAAAAATATTAGGTGGTATATTCATATATGTTTTCAGAAGAGTATAAATTTATAAAATTTGGTTAAATAATCAAGTTTAATAAGAAGGGGTGGTTTCTCCTCCTTAAAATTAAAAAGGATGTTGCGGGTTCGAAACCCTATTTGTGGCTATGTTGATTGCAATTTTTAGAGGTTCATTCCAATTCAAGTCTAACCTTCAACAAGGAGTAATGCAAGGTAGATCAAATTTGCAAACCATATGACGTGTCACGAATAGAAAATAGTGCGTTAATCAACAATTAAATAGTAATCAAATCATCAACAATCATATTATATGGTTTACAAAATTTGATTTAAAATTTGGTCTCCTTAGTATTAGTTTTCAATAAATTAATATATGTATGTCTTTACCAATACTAGCCTACTAGGTTTAATTAGGTGCTCATGCATTGCTTAAACATATCAATTAAAGACTCGAAAATGTGAATAATTTTTTTAGTCCCATACTAACAAGGTTAGTAAATAAGCAAAAGACCTCACGATTTATGTAAAATAATTTAAAAGTTCACATAAAGGGGAAACAAAACCCATCGTCCATCTACTTGTACATCTGGGTTTTTTTTTTTTTTTTTTTTTGTTTCCTTCTCTCAATATAAAATAAATTGGTTTTTCCATGTTTCTAAATTATTGAGTTTGAAATATTTTTCTAAGTACAATTTTATCAAAATTATAATTGTGAAAGCTTATATAAAGTTAGGGCATATTTTTTAGCGTCACTCTGGATCTTAGAAATCTCAGGACCAATGCCGAAAACAACAGCAAGAATCCAGAAAAACAGAGGGGTACGGGAGGGGGAAGAATAAACTCCAAACACAGCACCTCCAACAAAAGCTTGAAATCATCCAAATCAAAGCCTGAAAATTACAGTAAATGAAAAACCAAAAATCCTCCAAAGAAACCGTTCTAGTCTTCCTCCTTAAAAAAAAAAGGTCAAAATTTTGAGATTTGATTAGAGAGAGAAATCATTTGGTTGACGAAGCAACAGTATTGAAAACACACGCAGGTGACATATTCATTAATATATTCCGTGTCACTCTCTAATTATTTGTTCTTTCTTTCTGTTGTCTAACGTTCAATTATTACTATTTCTTTACGTGTTATGTAAGCATATACGTTATACAGTACAAGAAAAAGCTGGGATTTAGACATATATTCATAGATTGACCAAAAAAAACAAAGACTTATATTCATAATTTATACATAAAAAGTTGTATTTTATCAAAGTGAGTACGTGGAAATGATAACCTAGGAATAAGACAAAAGTCGTAGCGAATAAAAACGATGGCGTCGATACGCCTTTTATTTTGCCACCACCACTACTGAGTCGTAGTGAATTCAGAAAGTCAGCAAAAGAATAAGACAAAAATCGTAGCGAAATAAAAACAATGGCATCAATATGATTATTTTTTGTGCCACCATCACCATTGAGCTGTAGTGGATTCAGAAATTTAACAAATGAATAAGACATGAATCGTTGCGAAATAAAAACTATGGCATAGATACGACTTTCTTTGTGCCACCACCACAACTGAGCCGTAGCGGCTTCAGAAATTTTTTCTTTGATTTTGCTTGCTTTAAATCGGTGAAAAAAATTTAGAAGAGACTTGTGATTCAAATAGTAAAAAGCGCTTGACACTAGAGTGACCACAGTCAAGGTCAGGTGTTCGAATCCTCCTCTCTAATCGACTTTATAATGGGTTGAGTTTATAATTGTTGTATTACATACTTATACATTTTACAAGATATAAAGTAAAACATAACAGGTACGCCTTGGTAATATACCTGTTTAAAAAAAACTAGGTATACCAATTGTTTAGATTAAATTTATAAACCATCTAACGTGTCACCAATAGAAATATATGTACGTTAATCAATACTTAAGTCATAATCCAACGCACAACCATGTTATATAATTTATAAAATTTCGTTTAAATAGATAGTCTCCTTAACATTACCCTTATATATTACATACTTATTCCTTGGATTTCCTATTCGACTGAAGTACTCGGAAGAATTACCGAAATGTAGATCTCTAAGATGAGGCACTTGCATGCAAAGCAACCAAAGAAGCATAAATGCCATCGTCGACGTTGATCAAAGTTTCATGCGTTCCTTTCTCTGCAATCACTCCATTTTTCACCACTGCTATTAAATCTGCACTCTTAATCGTTGATAACCGATGAGCAACCACCACCGTGGTTCGATCCACCATGACGCGATCCAGTGCGTCTTGAACAACTCGTTCGGATTCAGCGTCGAGCGCACTTGTGGCTTCATCTAGTAGTAAAATCTTTGGTGCCTTCATTATAGCTCTTGCAATTGCCACCCTTTGCTTCTGTCCGCCAGACAGCTGAACCCCCCGCTCTCCTACGATTGTATCGTAACCCTGCATTGTTTTCCGAAGTTAATATGTATAAATCTTCAACATTCTGAATATAATTTTGTAAAAATAAGTGATACAAACGTGCATTACAAACATAAAGATCGAATCTTCATATCTTTGAGTTGGCTCGATCTTCATGTTTTGCTACTGAACTTCTAAATCGTCATCTATTTGAGGTGGCTCAATCTTTATTTTCAGCTACGCATATTCCTAAATCATACCGATAAGAAAGAAATCGACGAAGTTTTTAAGTCAGTGCCTACCTGTTGTAAACTACTGATGAACTTGTGAGCGTTTGCCAATTCTGCTGCAGCTATAATTTCAGATTCTGTTACATCCCCTTCCTTTCCATATGCAATGTTGGCTCGGATGGTTTCATTAAATAACACAGGCTCCTGGCTCACCAGCCCCATTTGCTGCCTCAACCACTTCAACTGTAGCTTTTGGATTTCAATTCCATCTAGTGTAATGTGACCTGAATCAGGGTCATAAAATCTCTGCAACAATGAGACGACTGTCGATTTCCCACTTCCACTTTCTCCAACCAGAGCAACTGTCTGATAAACACAAAGTACATTTCCAAGTTCCAGAAACGCATATTAGACTACTAGACTACAAGGTCCGAATCTCGTGAATGAATTTAAAACGAGTACAAAGAAGAACAGTGCATGCTACTAAGTTACCTTGCCACGACGAATGGTCAAGCAAAGGTCCTGGAAGATTGGCACGTCAGGTCGAGTTGGATACTTGAAGCTGACATGGCGGAATTCAATTTCGCCTTTCACATTTTCTATCATTGTTCCAGAATCATCACTGGAGTCTATTTTTGATTTTCGATCGATAATTGCAAATATAGAAGCAGCAGAGCTCTTTGCTTTACTTACATCAGTAGCTAGGGAGCCCGACTGAGACACTCCAACAGCTGTCATAGTAAGAGCAAAGAAAACCTACAAACCAGAAGGGCAAAATTTCAGGCATATGAACAAATTTTCTGTGCCATTCACTACTTGAAGACTTGTAGAGGAAGGCAAAATAACTTACCCGGAAAACATCAGCGAATGTTGTCTTTCCAGCTGAAACAAGTCGGGCTCCGGCGTAAAAACTAGTGGCGTACACAGAAAACAGAAAAAAGAAGGATAGACCAAATCCTATTCCACTGATTAACCCTTGCCTAATCCCTGTCTTAATAGGGCCTTCACATTTTTTCTGGTACAATTCAATCACCTTCTCTTCGGCACAAAAGGAAGCAATTGTTCTAATACTCCCTACAGCATCATTCGCTACTTGACTTGCCTCCTCGTACATTTTCTGCAACCATTTAGAATTCAGTATCAATAAAAATTAGTCTTATACATATTATGTATGTGAGATTGGATCATGTTTTGAACTGCACCGGCAACAAGCTGCATACTATAATTTTTCTTAAAATTTTGGATTTCAGAGAAATACCTTCGCATCTGCACTGAATCCTTTCATGAACTTGACGTGAAAATAACCATTTACTCCTAACAGAGGCAGCAAAACAAGAATTATAAGTGCAAGTTGCCAATTTGCCACAAAAGCAATCAACAAACCAGCAATTGCAGTTGCTAAATTCTGAACAAGCAAACCAAGAGCATCTCCAAGCAGCCCCCTCAGAGAAGCTGCATCTGCAGAAAGCCTTGCGCCAATTGCACCACTTGAGTGCTCAGGGTCGTCAAACCAACTTACTTCCATGTAAACTACCTTCTCAAAGCACATAGATCGGACTCGTTTTATTAATTTAAATCCAGCCACAGAAAAAAAGTAGTGACTTGCTGGAAGTGCTATTAAAGATCCCACTCCAAGAACAATAAAGATTAATGCCCAAAACTTTGAATGCTTCCGGAGTTCTTGAGGTGGCTCAAAGAAGGTCTTTATTACACTGGATAACAATAACCCAAAAATAGGTAAGACTACCCCATTGGCTGCTGCAGCTATTGTACCTAGGAACAACACTGGGATCTCTGGCTTGTTCAGGTAAGCTAGGCGGCGAAGTGAGACTTCTGGAGGTACTCTTGATGATTTTGAAGCAAGAATATCAGATTCTGCAGGTGCTGCGTCAAGGACACCTATTGCAGTGGGCATACCAAATGAGATTGAGAAGGAATGACGACTACTGTTTCCTCTTCCAGATGATCCCTGGCTTATGGATCGTAAGAGTGAAAATCTTTGACTTGAATGTCTCCGAGAATCCACACTACTAATTTCTGGCCTATCATGATCATTCACAGTCGTCTGTTCTGACACACTGCTCATTTCTTGCAACCTTATAAGCTGGCTATATGCTCCTTCAGGGTCCTTAATTAGCTCCGAATGTCGACCTGCTCAGTTGAAAAAGTTCGGTATGAGAAGTACTCATTAATTAAGATTATGGTAACGATACTTTAAACTTGATGAAAGTAAGACTGGGAACTCGAATGGTAAGATAGAAAACAAATGTGTTACCTTTTTCGACGATTGCCCCTCTATGTATAACAGCAATGGTGTCAGCATTCCTTACTGTACTCAAACGATGGGCTACAATGACAGTGGTGCGATTAATCATAATTCTGTCCAATGCCTCCTGCACAACTCTCTCAGATTCTGCATCGAGGGCACTTGTGGCTTCGTCTAAAAGTAGAATTCTTGGCTCTTTCAGGATTGCTCTAGCTATAGCAACTCTTTGCTTTTGGCCCCCAGACAGCTGAGTTCCATGTTCACCAACCATTGTGTCTAGTCCCTAAAAAATTAATTAAACGAGCTGAATTAGGATATGTTTCCATCTTTGAATGTATTGAAATGGTAAGATCAACAAAGAAACACCCAAACTTAAAGAGTGTGTATAAACGAATTTAACCTGTGGCAGTTTGTCTATGAATTTAGCAGCATTAGCAAGCTCTATAGCAGCCCTTATTTCATCGTTAGTTGCACCGTCCTTCCCATAAGCAATGTTATCTTTGATGCTAGAAGTAAACAACACGGGTTCCTGGCTGACAAGACCTATTTTCTGTCGGATCCATTTCAGCTGGAACTCTTTGAGATTAATACCATCAATAAGAACTTCCCCAGCTAAGGGATCATAAAACCTCTCAATCAAACTGATCACAGTTGATTTACCACTTCCGCTCTGCCCAACCAAAGCAGCAGTTGCACCGCTAGGTATTGAGAGAGAAAATCCATGGAATATTTGTTCATCTGGTCTTGCAGGATAACTGAAATAAACATCCCTCAGTTCTATGTCTCCACGGATGTCTTGTAACTGCTGCCCATTAGTGTCATAAGAATCTATCTCCGGCTTTCTGTTAATCGTCTCAAACATTTTATAAGCTGCGGCTTTTCCAGCAGCAAATGCACTGAGGCATGGAGAAGCCTGCCCAAGAGACCTGGAAAAGTATCATGGAGACATTTTCATATCATGATATTCTGAAGCATCAAATATTAAATTTTGAAGTGAAGAGTGGGAGTAGTCAATAACTTTAAGATATCACAACTTGAAGTGTATGCAAAAGTGAAAACATGTTTACTAGTGCAATTACGCAACGTTCACAAAAAAATTTCATCAAAATTTATCGAAATGCAACTTACATGGAGGCAGTCAACGCAGCGAAAATTACATTGATTACTTCTCCTCCAGTATATCCTTTTTCAACTATCATCTTTCCGCCAAACCATATAGCGAAACCATAACTAGACATTATAATAAACAGAATAACACCAATCCCAAAACCAGAAGCCAAACCCTCGTGCACACCCGACTTGTAAGCTTTTATTAAGGAGTTGTTGTAATTAGCTATCGCCTGTTTCTCTCCTGTAAATGATACAACCTGCAAGGGAATGCTCATCGTTTTTGTTCTATACCAAGATAATATAGAGAATAAAATTAGAATCTGTAGACAAGTAGGCATACAGTTCTGATTGAACCAACTGTCTGCTCTACCACAGTTGATGCCAGTGAATAAGCAGTTTGCCCACGGGATGCCATCTTCGATAAATTGATGCCCATGACAGCACCTGAGAGGACAAGAAGGGGAAGAGATGATAGCATGACAAGGGTGAGAAGCCATCCCTTAATAAATGCTATTATGAAGCCTCCAATGGATGTGGCAATTAATTGGATGAACCTTCCTACCTGCAATAAGAACATGAAAAAAATTAGAGGCTGTTAGAGAAAATGGAAATCATTTCAGGCTTTTGTGTAGCATGTAAATACCTTCTCGCCCATGGCCTCTTGAATGAACACAGTATCACCAGACATCCTGCCAATAATTTCCCCAGTGTTCGCTTCTTTATCGAAAAAACCAACATCTTGCCTTAATATTGTTTTCAAGTATAGACCTCTTATTCGTGCAGCCTGTCTCTCTCCGGTGATCATCCAGCAAGACATCTCTGACATATAGCAAAAGATAATTTATTATCTCAGTTTCCAATTAGCCAAGCTATTTCTTCAGTACTATAAGGGAGCTCGGTAATACTTACGCAGAAATGCAGCAGCACCAGCTCCCACAGCCAAGTAAACATACTTTAGAGCTACCTGAGGATATGATCCTTTTTTAGCAACTAAACCGCAGACACCGGAAACCAAGTTAAAAGTTCAAAAATAGAAGTTCAGACACAAACCCTAATGGAACAACCATTTGGCGGCTGAAATAGAGAAGATTTGAATCGAGTTCATGATTCCAAGTAAGTCCTTTAAAGTGCACCCCTTTATGTGGGACTTATAAGACACGGAATGTTGGACTGTTGTCCAATTTCATAAGTTTAGTCTTAAAATGTATGAGTTCAACACACAACGCCATGACATTAGTGTCGTTTAATTGAAATAGTCGAGTCCAGGCCCCAGGAGTAATTCCTAGTGAAGATGTATTCGTAAAGAAAACTTTTTACCAGGCTCTAGCCACAGAATATTTACCTTAGAAACAACATCCACAACATCTTTGGTATTCTCAGTTCCTCCAAAAGAATCAATGATATCTCCCATGATTACAGTCATTAGAGGCATACAGAGCCCGTTTCCAACGGCGCTGATTACACCAACAGACATTAGCATGTAATCCAAGGAATCAGCAAAGGAGAAAAGCTTGTAATATGGTACTGTTTTGGTGCCATCCTCCTTGTTCTTGCTCGTATCTTGCTGGGTGTTTTCAGAATCCTCCACTGCTGCGTGCTCGTTTGTTACTGTCGTGCCCTGCTCCTTGACCACATCGCCCTCCACAGGATTTACCTCAGCCATGTCTCTCACAGGAGTAGTGTTAACTTGCTGTTTTACAACACAAGCAACTCAGACAAGTTGGATGATGAGATCAGAGCCGCAACAGGAACAATTTATGGTTTGAATTACCAACCAAACTGTCTTAAAAAAAAAAATTAAAAATATAGTTCATCAAAGAATGGATGGAAAATTTGTTGTAATATAGTATAGGATTTGATTATTCAGCCAAAAATTAAAAAATCATTCAGCAAAATGTTTGCCATGAAAAATTATTCTCCAAAAAAAAAAAAAAAAAATTCAAAAGCTTCACATAGCAATCATGCAATGCAAGGAAGCTAATTCTTGTGAGTATCATACATCAAAAGAAGAAATAAAAAGCTGCAGAGAAGAGAGAACAAATATTTACAACCTCAGCAGACCAAATTCCAACCTCCACAACACACAAATAAGCACTAATTAACATGAAAGCGAAGGATCAAATCAAAAGACAAAGAGAAGGAAAGCAATGCTGCTAAAGGAGAGAATATATCGTAACATAATGAGCAGTGAAGAAACAAGCTTCTTACCACTTTGTGAGAATTTGTTGCTTAATTCCCTGCCAAAATATTGGTTTTATAAGCCACGATCAGTCCAAAGTCAAAATTTCCAGAACAAAAGTTGAAAAAAAGTTGTTAATTTGAACTGAGTGGGAAGAAATACGATTCGAGTTCTCTACCTTTTTGCTTTGATAGGATGAGTTTTCTTTTTCCTTTTCAGTTCTTCTGGGAGTGTGGAAATGTGATGGTAACTTTGGGTTGGTTTGGCATTTGGGTTGTGATCGAATATTATCAGATCCTTTGTCTGCTCTGCTGTTTGTAAATGGCGACGCAGCCGTCCCATTTCGGTGATCCGGTGGTCAATTGTTCTCAATCGTCACGAGACTTTGGGAAAATTAAAATTAAAAAAAAAAAAAATTGTACTCAATCATCCTGCCCCCCGCCAAAGTTTTGGTTTTGTTTTTTTTAAGGGGAAATTAGAATGTCCTACATCTTTTCTATAGTTATTAGATTAAACATTCATAAGGATTTGATTAAGGTGCTTCTATCAATTGCCACCTCAATAATTTTTTATTTATTTAATTTCCATGTCATTAATTTAAATGCATTTATATAGAGGCATAAGGTAGCTTAACAACTAATTGCCTATAATATAAGAATTTAATTTCATCAATCCCCTTCTACACATTAAATGACATTTTTTTAATAAAATAAAATAAAAAATTAATTAACTAATTCCTCATTTCCTTATTATCAGTATTTAAAAAAAAAATACTCTTTCTATTAAAATTGTCTCTATAAAAAGTCTTCAATACATATTTTTTTTCATGTATAGATACATAAAAAAAATATACTTAAAACTTATGGTACATTTAAGAACAAAAGTATCGACTTTTGGTACGTTTAGATTTCAAATGTACCGAGAAACCAAATGTACCATAAAACCAAATGTACCCATTGTTATGTAACCTTTTTGGTATGTTTAGATTTCAAATATACAGAGAAACCAAATGTACCAAAATTTCAAATGTACCATAAAACCAAATGTGCCCATTGTTAGGTAACCCTTTTGGTACATTTAGATTCCTATTGTACCAAAAGACCAAATGAACAAAAAATCCCAAATGTACCACAAAACCAAATGTCTCTATTAGATAACCCTTTTGATACATTTACATTCCAAATGTATCGAGAAATACAAAAAATCAAATCCACTATAAAACTAAATGTGTCCATATTATAGGTAAGTAGACATAGCTATATAATCAAACAAATCTTTATTACGTGTTGGGTCTTCTAAATAATAAAATTTGACAATTTTTTTTTATAAATATTCTATTATATTCACAAAAAAAAGTAAAAATTATAACAAACAATAAAAAAATGCATAGAGATGGATAATAAATGCATAAATGTAGGAATAATAGGACAAGAAAAAAAAAACTGAAATGCCCAGGAGAAGTCGTGAAAAATTGAAATTAATAACCAAAATTTTAGGAAAATGTTTGATCAAATTTTCAAAAGGAGTATATGTTTAGTCTAAAAAAAATTAAAAAACGAGTCGCCTATATCAAAATGCCCTTTTTTCTAATTACAAGCTTTTCATTTCTAACAAAAATGCTACTCTTACCACATTTGCCATACCATAGTTGTAGCATGATGTGATCATGTGTTGATGGGCCCTACCTCTATTAGAGAGGACATATGAAGAGATTTTTCAGTGTGCTGGGAACACGGTCCGAAACATCAAATGTAATAATACAATTGGTTGAAAAACTTTAAAAAAAAATTCTAACCAATTGTATTATGACACTTGGTGTTCCGAGCTGTGTTCTCAACACACTGAAAATTTCTCGTACATATAGACAATGAAAAATGTAATAAGTGTAACATTACTCTCTTTCTAAACTTCGGGCATCATAGTGAGTTGAATAGAGAAACTATTAAAATAATTGATTTTGACATAGGATCATACATTCAAACTAATGCAATGCAGAATTGGATATGATTTCAAAACTTCAAATGTAGTTTGAGAAAATTGGTATGAGCTGACACGTAAGTCTCACATGCGTTCATTTTAATATGGGACTAACGGAAGTTTTATATGTATATATACACACACAATGATTTCTATTCTACGTGATAAGAGTTTGAACTAGGACACACAATAGGTCAACAATTAACAACGTATCGAACTTAATACAATTATATAATACATCATTATCATTTATGTGAGTCAAATCTGAAACTTGTTATTTGCGTGGTATCACCATAGAACCGAGAAAGTTTTGAATTCAACCACAATTGCCAAAAACTTTAGGGGCATTTAGACTTAAGGACCTAAAGAAGATCATTTTTTTTCATTATAACCGGGATGCTTTTATAAATCTAGTTTTAGTCCCTAACTTTAAAACTCATTATTAGTCATATTAAATACCGCTGCCCCCTTTTATTATTTTCAAATTTTCTTTCTAAAATTCCTAATTTAATCATCAACTAGACCTTAAAATAGGAATTTTTATTTCTACAAATCAAATTTAGCAATTTAAAATGGAAGACTTTTTAATACATTTTGCTAATGAGAATTACACTATATAAATCACAAAACCAAGCAAATAACTAATATGCAGACACAATAAATAATATACATAATAAAGGTACATGAATACACACACACACACACACACATAGGTTCATATGTATAAGTACACAAATGTATATATAGGTGCATATATATGGGTACATAAATATATATTTATGTACATATGCATAGGTACACAAATTATGTATACATATATATACGTGCATATAAACATATATGTATTGTTACCACTTAAGCAATTTTTTTACACGTATTGAATACACATTAAGTAAAAATCTTTAATTTATAATACTAAAAATAAAACAAAACAAAAGTTAATAATTATTAGCTAGATTTTAGGGGATATATAACCAAAATCAGTATTTAATCTTACACCCAACTTTAATGAAAAATGTATCTTATTATAATATAGTTTCCTAAAAACTTTGTTACCACATGTAAAACTGCGGTATCACCATAGGACCACAAAAAAATGTGGCCAAAACTTTGAACCCAAACCCATAATAAATAGCAGCCCTAAGAAAAAAAATGATAAATTTGGCTAAGACTTTAAAATCCTATAACTGTAATTAGAAATAACAAATTAACCTATTGAGTTGTTAATTAATAATCATTAAGGTTTGTTTAGTTTGATTTTACCATTGTATAATGATGAGATTGATAATTATGACGAAGATGTAATTGTAAAATCAAACTAAATAGATTTTAAGAGCAATTCCACGTGTTACCCAAGAGCGCAAAGGCAAGGACTTCTCTGTTGTCCTTTGACCTTAAAAAACTCGTCCACCAGCCCATAAATGTAACCACAAATGGCGAGCCAAGCCGAGTTCAACCCAGTGACAGTGCAAGAGTCACATTGTGGTCCACCTACTAACTTGGCTGACGTCAGGATGATGTCAGCCATGGCATACTAATGATGTCAGCCATGAGGTCAGCCAGGTTATACTATTTTTATGTGTCTAACGAGTGTAATACACACGCATCCATGTGAGTGGGCTGACTTGTTCTACCGTTGTAGGGCCCTCATGTGGTCCAACAACCTAGTTCTTTTTTGGTTGGTCACGTGGTGCCTTGCAAATCGTTAGATTTCAAACGGAAAAAACATCTCATGGCCTATATTATTCTTGACATAAATTTTTATTTAACAAATTAAAATGTTGAAAAATGGTTTTAAAACTTAAAAGAAAAATTAGAAAAAAGAAAATATTTTTAAAAACACCAAAAAAATGCAACAAAACATAAAAATAATGAAAAAGTATATTTGTGAATACTAAACACTGTTGCCATCGTCCAACAGATGGTGTTGCAAAAATACAATTACTTTTCAAAGTGAATAATAACTGTCATAGGGTTACCTTTTCTCTTGCCCTTGCCTAACTAGTTAAATTGCTTTTTTCTTTTCTTTTTTTTTAAATTGCTTTAATAATTACAAATTAACAACCTAATAGATTAATTTGCTACCTTAAACTCTAACAACCTCAAAATCCTAATAATCTCATAGATGACAAGAAATCAAATTGGTCACCTAGCAATGCATATGTGAAATATTAATTAACATATTTTATATGTCAGTCTCTAATTATTTGTCCTTGTTTTTTTGTTCTCTAGCATTCTATTAATATTTGGTCATGATATATATGCTAACCAAAGCATATCACCGCATTAGGTAGGATATGATGCTGCTTTAGCCCTTAACCACTGTCTACTGTCTGCATAATGGAATGAGTAAAATAAAGAGCTTGCATTTGGATTTATGTTCATAATTTGGACAATGGTTAAGTTGCATTGGCGGATTCAGAAAATTTTCTTTCGCTCCTTCTTGCCTTTCTTTATCCCGAAGGATTGTCAAACAGCTTGTACTAGGACAACGGTCGATGTACAAAATTGGATCAACTTAGATCCTATAGTAAAATCACACAAAGGCATAAAAACACAAATGTATCGTGATTTACTTAAATTTAAGCCACATCTTGTAGAATTATCAGAGAGACGGGCCGTGGGACGCAAGTAGTGGGTCACACATGAGAGATTCACACATCGACAACCACATGGATCCAAGGGGACCCACCTTACACGTGGGGCCAAGGGACCCACCATCATCGCGCGGGGCCAAGGGGACTCACCCATCACGTGGCAGTACAGTACGGGTTCGCTTTCTAGCTCTGATACCATGTAGAATTATCAGAGAGACGGACCGAAGGTCCACTTCCAACAACGTTGATACTGTTCCTAACTTGGTAATTATCACCTACACAATCCGTCAGGTGCGGGGTTTTATCACAAAATATCTCGGTGTTAGTTGGAGTGGGGTTAAGATATTTACACTCTTTTTTTTCCATTAATACGGTCAATGTGGGACATTTCAACATATCTATGTTGGTGTAGTTTCTGTTTTCATTGTATAACCAAAGCAGTTACATTGTACATAGAGGCTTGAGCCTTTAGCGAGTAAAGGACCTATGGTTGAGGCTACAATGAGAGACCCCCTCCCTAGGAGGGATTTTTCGGTGTACCCGGCACACCAAAAAAATTTGGTGTACCCTCACTCATAATGGTGAGGGTGCACCAAAAAAATTTGGTGCACCCTCACTTTTTGTACACCAAAAAAATTCTAATGAGTGAGGGTACACCAAAAAAATTTGGTGTACCCGGTACACCTAAAAATTTTCGCCTCCCTAGAATGAGTGAGGAGTCCTTTTACAGGACAAAGGGTTTTCCTCTTTTTTATATAAACAAGATTAAATAGTGATGTGCAAAGAAAAATAAACGGTGTAATCATCATGTCCTTGTATCTTAAT